ACACGTGTCATACAGTGCAAGGTTTCCTTGACAAAGAGGCTCAGTTTGTACATGACGGACGCGTCACTTCTGGCAGGTATGATGGATACGGTTCTCAACTTGGGACTGAACGATCAGACCGTGGAGGCCTTGGCGAAGCAGTCTGGCGACCGGCGCTTTGCCTTTGACAGCTTTTCGGAGTTCATTCAGCACGATTTTGCAGGGTTGTGCCGCAGTTGCTGATGCTACCAGGGCCCCAAGAACAGTAGTAGAGGCTACCGTCGCTTCGTTCAGATGTATTCTGATGTGGTACTTGGCATCGAGCTCAACCACTTCGAAAAGCACTTGGAGCGTGCAAAGGCCAAGCGTGGCGTGAAGCAGGACAGTATGACATTCACTTCGGGATCTCGTGTCGTCTTTCGCTCGCACATGTCCAGGTGAGTCCATGTGTTATCATGCTACCATGCCACAGGACTGCGAGCTGCTCGCGGAAGACTTGGAGAAGCTGGTGAAATCGCACCTCCGCCGACTGCTGGTCGTATGATAGCTTCGCCTTCAAAAGCCGTGTCCGTTACAATATCCTAGCCTGGAACTGAAGCAGACATGAGGTACAAGTCGGTGGTGCAGTTGGAGCTTGGTGAGGACTTCCCAGAAGATCCGAAAGCCCAGCTCTGGGGCGCAATCGGTGCCGTCTCTAGGCTTTGGAGCAGTGTAGTGTAGTATATAGTATAGTATAGTATCGTATCGTATCGTATAGTATAGTATAGTATATAGTATAGTCTAGTCTAGTCTATATGATATATACACAAAGTAGTTTCCGAAAAGAGGGAGACCTTAATATGGACCCCAAATATTAGGGTTCCAAATAGGTCCTCAGATATAGACCCCCAAGCAATGACCCCTTATTTTCGGAAAACCCCGGGCTTTGGAGCAGCGCCATCTCTCGTTTGTTTGGAGTGAACTTCACCTTCAACCCCCCCCCCCACCCCCTACATTTGTACTTGGGGCTGCCGCGTTGAACACAACTAGCTGCACAACATGCCACAGGGTTGCTATGATTTTCCTTTTAGCCGAACCGAAGCCC